TATTGGTCAATCCAAAGGAAGATTAATATTTGGTCGGAATGGATAGGAACCTGTGATGGTAACATGTGATAATTATAAGGTTTTATGTGTCAATAATAAAATGAATCCAAAGATAGGTTTGTTATTGGACATGTTCTTATTATCAGTGTTGATCATTACACCAAGACACCTCTAGCAGTTAATATTACTGTCCGAAGACTGGACATTGATGGGGCATTGGGTGTCTTAAGACGGGATAGACTATTTGAATTACATTTATATAATTATTAATTTTATAGTGTGAGTTTAATTCCTTTGTTTCTCTTATTCTAAATACAACTACGATTACTTCAATATCTACTAATTTCTTTAAAGACTGGAACAAAAACATGAAGATAGTCCTTGATCGTATGAGCTTTAGGCGTAGTCTTGCTTCGGTCTATTTTGAGGTCAATTTAGCTTCAATACCGATAAATACTTGGTGGTTAGATTTTGGTGCAACTACTAACATTAGTGTTTCAATGAAGGGATGTATAAGCTACCGAAAACTAATTGATTATGAAAGATGTATCTATGTGGGAGATGGAAAATCGGAAGAGATGGAAGCTAAGGGGCAATTTAGGTTGTTATTGTGAACCGATTCCTGCTTGGATTTGAAAAACACTTTTGTTGTGTCGTCATTTAGGCGAAATCTGGTATCAGTTTCCTACTTGCACAAATTAAGATATTTGTGTTCATTTGAAAATCGTGAAATCAAATTGTCTTTAAATTCAAATATTGTTGGAACTGGTTCACTTTCGGATAATGATAACCTCTATATGCTTTATACAGTGGCTTCCTATAATGAATCATTCAATACAGAATTGTCTGGTACTAAGCGTAAAATTGACAATAATGATTCAGGAGCATTGTGGCACAGACGTTTAGGTCACATTTTTAAAAATATAGTTAAACGACTTGTGTCAAATGGGATTTTGATTTTCATTGACTTCACAAATTTTGATGTTTGTGTTGAATGCATTAAAGGAAAACAGACCAAGACATCGAGATTAGGTGCACACAAAGCTACAGACGTTTTAGAATCGATACATATGGACATTTGTGGTCCATTCCCTACACCTTCATGGAATGGTTAACAATATTTTTATCATTCATAGACGACTACTCTAGATATGCATACCTATACCTTATCCATGAAAAGTCTCAATCATTGGACGTGTTCAAATCTTTCAAGGTTGAAATTGAGAATCAACTCAACAAACACATTAAGAATGTTAGACCTCATTGTGGTGGTGAATACTATGGCAAATATGACGGATCAAATGAACAACGTTCAGGACCTTTTCCTAAGTACCTAGAGGAATGTATAATTGTCCCACAATACACCATGTCGGGTTCACCTATTATTAATGGGGTGGCTGAAAGATGAAATCAGACTCTTCAGGATATGGTAAGGAGTATGATTAGTCATTCCACCTTACCAGAGTCACTCTAGGGAGAGGCATTGAAGACTGCAGCTTATATTTAAAACAGAGTGCTAACCAAAATAGATGTTGCAACACCTCATAAGCTTTGGGTTGGGCAAAAGCCTAATCTAAAACACTTATGTGTATGGGGATGTTCAATTGAAGCAAGGCCTTACAAGCCAAATGAAAAGAAATTGGACTCTCGAACACTGAGTAGTTATTTTATTGGTTACTCTGAAAGATCAAAAGCTATAAATTCTATGATCCTAAATCAAAGAATATTTTCGATATAGGAATTGCCACATTCTTTGAAGATATTGAGTTTGGGAGGAAGAATAAGGTAAGAAACTTTGTCATTGAGGAAGCATTGGTGTCAACTCTAGATCTGATTCATACAGTTGATTATGATGAAGCAAGTTTGACACCTCTAAGTTGTCAACCTCTACAAGAACAAACTCTAGACCCTCAAGAACAGGTGCTTCATGAGTCAGTATCATTGCGGAGATCCATGAGAGAAAGGAGAAGTGTCATTCTAGATTATTATTTAGTATTTCTCCAAAAAAATGAGGAAAATAATAGTATGATAGAAGATGACTCTGTCACCGTCCATCAAGCTATGAAAGATCCTAATTCATAAATTGATTGAAGCTATGAATTAGGAGTATAAGTCCATGCAAGACAATAAAGTTTGAGAACTTGTCCCATTGCAAGAAGGTGTGAAACCCATTGGTTAAGTGAATATTTAAAACCAAAGGGGATTCTAAAGGTAATGTGGAGAGGTATAAGGCTCGTCTTGTGGCAAATGGTTATACTCAAAAGGAAGGGTTTGATTTTAAAGAGACTTTCTCTCCATTTTCATCGATAGACTCTTTTAGAACAATCATGGCTCTTGTTGCACATTATGATTTGGAGCTTCATCAAATGGATGTCAAGACGACGTTTCTCAATGGCAACATTGATGAGACAATTTATATGGTGCAACCGAAAAACTTTGTGCCAGCAGATCCAAAGAATATGGTAGCAAACTGACAAAATCCATTTATAGGCTAAAATAGGCATCTCGTCAATGGTACCACAAATTTCATCAAGTTATTATCTCATTTGATTTCGGAATAAATGTGGTTGATGATTGTGTGTATCACAAGTTCATTGGGAGCAGATATATCTTCCTGGTCTTATATGTTGATGACATACTACTTGCTACCAACAATATAAACATGTTGTACAAAACCAATAGATTTCTATCTAGAAATTTTGAAATGAAAGATCTTGGTGATGCTTCCTTTGTATTAGGAATTCAGATACACTGAGATTGATCTCGCGGTATTCTAAGATTATCATAGAGGAATTACGTTGATAAGGTGCTTAAAAGGTTTGGTATGTAGGATTGTAAAGGAGGAGATTCTCCAGTAAGGGAGGCAAGTTCAGTCTCAATCAATGTCCAAAAAGAAATCTAGAAATTCAGGAAATGCAGAAGATTCCCTACGCTTCAACAGTAGGGAGTCTGATGTATGCCCAAATATGTACACGTCCGGATATAACCTACATAGTTGGGGTTTTAGGCAAATATATAAGCAATCCAGGAATGGATCATTGGAAAACAGCAAAAAGAGTTGAGGTATTTACATAGAACAAATGATTATATGCTTACGTAAGGAGATAAGACCGGTTAGAGATAACTGGATATTCTGACTCAGATTTTGCAGGATGCCAAGATAGTTTGAGATCCACTTCGAGTTACATTTTCATGTCGGCTAGTGACGCGGTTTCTTGGTGTAGTGCTAAGCAAACCCTTACGGCTTCATCCACTATGACTATAGAATTTGTAGCATGCTATGAGGCATCAAATCAAAATATATGGCTGAGAAACTTTTTCCCAAGGTTGTGCATTATAGAAGGAATTGAAAGACCACTCAAGTTATATTATGACAACAAATCAGCTATAATGAATTCTAAAAACAATAAAAGCTTAAGCAAGTCAAAGCACATTGACATCAAATTTCTAGTTGTTAAAGAAAGAGTACAGAATGGACAAATTTCTATAGAGCACTTAAGGACAAACTCCATGTTAGCAGATCCTCTTACTAAGGGAATTACACCCAAGGTCTTTCATGAGCATGTTTCTCACATGGGTGTTTTAGCTTTTGAGAAATCTTTGATTTAGTGGGAGTTAATCACTTTTGTATTTGTGTTTTATGTCCTTAGACATACTTGATTTAATAAATATATAATTTATTATTTGGATATAACATTGTGTACGATAAGGTTATTATGTTAATCTCATTAAGATAAAGTAAGGATCAATTGATACTAGACGTGTATAGGTCACCTTCACATAATTTTTATGCTACACATTTCATGATGAATCTATGTTATTTGGTTTTGTTAGCATTAGTAATTGTCAGGTTTTATTACGAATTTTGAACTCATAAAGCTTAACACATTTGTAATATATATATATATATATATATATATATATATATATACTTTTTTTTATATATATATATATATATATATATATATATATATAAAGCCTAACATATTCTTAGTCAACTTTATAAAGTGATTTCAAATTAATAACAAATATTTAATGATTTCAAATTCATATAAATCTTCGCCAAACATTTATTTTTTTCTCATAGTTTTCTTTAAAAACATTCTTAAAAAAATTATTCATTTTATAGGATTATTTTTTTTACAATACCTATTTAACAAATTCTTTTTCCAATATTTTTCTTTTATTATATCATAGTAAAACATGAAAAAGTTAATATATCCTGCACCCCAGAAATTTGTGAAATATTAAAACTAGTGTTTTAATTTAACCCTAATGTTTATCCTACTTCACTTCTGGAGTTGCACGTTTGGTCCCCCTTTCACCTCACAGTTGCATTTTTATCTCAAATTAGCTTAATTACAGGAAGCAATTGCCTAATTAGCATTATACAGAGCACTTTTCTTATGGGGCCAAAAATAATCTAAAGCCCAGATGATTAAAGGCTTTAGTTGGATGCCTTTAGATCCGTATTTTATTATTTAAATAGGTTTTGTTTTATTTTTTCTTAAATTCGTAAGATAATGATACCTTGTTGTTGATAGACAACATGAATGCTAAAAAAAAGTAAGAAAATTAATAATAAACCCTAAAGTCTCCTTCCAATGACACAAAATGTTGCCATTTTTCCAAAATAACACACGGAACAGTCACTTTTAAATTATTATTTAATAATAATGATAATAATAATTATGATTATTCTAGCCACCAATTAGATTTCCGATATTTTGAAGATACCACCATTGCTATTGAATTTCTCTACATTAAAATCAAACTATCAAATTGACTTTTAATTTATGAAATTTAAGATTTCTGCGAGCTAGTTCAGATTCCTGTGTCTAAATACAAACAAAGAGGGAAACTAGAATCTGATTTTAAATTTCTAAGCAAATTAAGACAATTAGGCTAGAAAGTAAAAAAAAATAGTAGCTTCTAGATTAAATGCAGACGGAAGACAAATAAAAAAAGATAAATTTGAACATATTTTCAGCCAAACAGCTGCGAAGCCTCAGTCAGCCAGAAATTCTCATCAAATATCAGACGGTAATTCCAAATAAAATAAATCATCACCGGCTTCGCCACAAGCAGGACAAAATAAAACAAAAACAAAGGACACAAAGTTCAAACAACAAGAATGTAATCGCACAAAACGGCTCCGCAGATCATAAAGTATGAGATCTACAGATTCCTATCACGATGCGAAACAAACGAAACTCGCTTTTGATTTTGGTCCAATCATAGCATCACTGGTCACCGCTGAATTGAAGCTACCAGCGACGTGGCATCGGACCTAACCCTAAAAAACCAGATTAAAAACTAAAAAACAATTTCAAAAAATAGAAACCCTCAGAGACCCGTTCCAAATCACACACACAGAACCACAAAGAACGAAGTTCTTCGTTTGGCGCTGCGTTTAGATTGTCATACGGCACTTCCTATCAATTATGGGAGATCCTCCTCACAGGGTATTTCATCTTCTTCACTGTCTAAGAATCGAACATTTGTAAAATTAAGCACAAAATTCTAACATGAGTATGATGAAGAAAATCACAACCTATTGCATATGATGAAGAAAATCCTAATATACAAAAGAATCACACTAACAGATATTGAATATCACATAAGAACATCGCAAGCCAACCTAAACACCAAAGTACATAGTTAAAGACTTTTGGATGTGAAATTTATAGACACGCTTACTGTGCTGTTAGGGTTAGAGCCGCCCATATCAATCGTATTGGGCTTTCCGTTATCCAAATGGCCCAATAGTATTTTAACCATATATATTCGAAAACATATTTTAGACAACAGAAAATTAATTATAAAACGGTATTTTAAATGAAATATTTATAGAAATATACAATAAAATAATTCCATTTTATCTAAATATTTTATATTTAATTATATTTTCAAATTATAATATTTTAACCCTATAACTTTTATTTGAAGTAAAAAATATTAGAAGAAGAATATAAAAAATTAGAAGAAGAATATAAAAAATATAATGAAAACAGTGTTATTTTTTGTGATAATAAAAATAATAAAATTATTATCATTATTATTATTATTATTATTAAATTAAAATTATGAAATTAAATATAAATAATTTTTATAATTTTGTTGTAAATAAATTTTTTATTTATTTTATAAGTAGTTTTATGATTGAAAAATATTAAGTTCAGAAAACTATCAAATTAAAAAAAATGGTTAAATTTAAATAATAAAATTGATAAAATAACTATTTTAATTTAAAGAAATTTTATTTAAAAACTAAATTTAAAAAATATATTTGGACAGGAACAAGATAAATCCCTTCTTATATATACTATAATATACACTATAGTAAACACATGCGCGGTTATCCCTATGATTTTTTAAATATTAATATTGTTTAAATTTAAAAATTAATAATTAAAAGAATAAAATTAAAAAGTGTATATAGTTATAAATATAGTTATAGATAAAAATAAATTTTAGTTGTTGAATAAAAATATTGTAAGCGTATTGTGTAAATAAATTTTTCTGAGTAATTATTTAAGTTTAAAAAAATAGTTACTAAAATAATGAAAACGGAAATAATTATTTTATAATAAATAATTATTTACATTTTAAAAATATTAATTAAAAAAATAAAATAAGATACGAAAGAAGTGTATCATATATGTATGTATGTATGTATGTATGTATGTATGTATGTATAAAAGAAGGGATGAATGGAATATCCGAAAAAATAAAAATAGTTTTGAAATTTTGGGTTTTTGTTTGAAAATTAGTGTTAATTTTTGTTAGAATATAATTATTATGTTATTTTTTTATTTTATTTATATTTTTGTCTAGGGACAAAAAGAATTCTTTACCTTTTATTAATTAGGTGCAAGAAATTAAAATAAAGGTGTAAAAAGAAAAAACATGCGATTAAATAATATAAAAAAAATTAATAAAAAGGTATTATATAAATCTTTTAGAAGATTTAGTTGTTGTTGTTTTAAAATTAGTTAAACGAAAATAGGATATATAATCTTGATAAGTTTAAAGATTAAAAGATAAAATCATTATTAGATATTGTTAAATATTTTAAAAGATATTTTGAGATATGACTGGTTAAAAGATATCTTAAGATATTATTGGATATAATTAGGTATTATTATTATATAATAATAACAATAATAATAATAATATGTTATTGATAGACTTATTATAATAAAATATATTATTATGACTGAGAAAATATTAGAGATAGGGTTGGGTTGATTTATAAATATTAATATATATATATATATATATATATATATATATATATATATATATATTGGGTGTTTTAGAAATCCTATAAATTCTAAATTAAAGAGAGAAAACAAAGGAAGAGAGATTGACTTGGAGAAGAGAGAGAACAACAAAACTCTTAGTGCAAAGGAAGATTAATGGTGCTTGGGGTTGTAGATAAAACCCTAATATTGGGCATGGGGAAGCTACCAGAAAACAATATCAGATACTGCACAATAACCTTACTCACCCACACTATAAAATCACCCAAACAATCCATTGCAAACCATGAAATCACCACCTATTGATACCAAACAATATCATACGAAACTCCATCACCTTTAAGTAATGTCTAACAATATCATACCAAAAACACATAACATCCAAGTGATACCAAACCATATGTCGTTCTCCCATACTTTACCGTACACAACATGTTTACCAAAATAGAACGGTTTAAGCCATCTTGCCATTAGAACACGAACCTATCTCTCTTGATCCTGAAGGACTTACAAGTAAAAATTTTAATACATCACACATCGAGCATTATGCTTAACAGAGTCAGGAACATACGGGCGACACATTATTTCCTTTTCTATTGCTTCATACAAGCGAAAAGGTACAACACTCTAACCTTCACTCTCTCGCTACTTCGCACAGGCAAAAAAAATCCCCTTTCCATTGCTTCACATAGGCAAAAGGTACAACCTCACCTTTATAAGGTATGACAAACATATCAACCAAACTCATCTCTCAATACCAATTGAGAGAATGAGACCAAATACATTAACCAACAACTGAAAAACAACTCGGTAACATAAGCAAACAACTAGGCCACAACAAAAATTAAGTACGACAACACACCCAACAACATAGCAACCGTTCAAAAACATACCAAAACAACATAGTAACAGTATGAAAACATACCAAACAACATAGCAAGAATACAAAAACACAACTAAATAACATAACAACACAACTATGTTCAAATGTAACACAACAGCCAACTACACTAAATCAAACAAGACAACCAACAACACATACAAGACCAAACACACACACATGACATCATACATATCAATGCAACAATAAACTTAAACAATACAATATCATACATAATAGTAAGACAACATACCCAACAACATGACACCATACCAAATAGCACGACAACAAATAAATATATTAAAAAGTTAATGAATATTTAGAACTTAAATGTTAGCATTATTTTAAATATAAAATAAATATTATAGCATTTTCAGTTCCTATTTTTAAGGAACATAAAGTGGTCCATTAAGCCATTTTTTTTATCCTTTAACTGCATAGAGGTTATGGAGCAGTTATTAATTTTTAAACGTAAAGCCCAATTATTTTGAAACCTGTGATGGCCAGACTTTATATAAGGGAATGAGTTACTCTCAGTTTTGATCACTAAGCCTACTCCTCTATTTAGAAAAAACACACGATCGAGTTTGAGTGAGCTAAGGTTTAGAAAACAAAACTGTCTGTGTTTAGATTTACAAAATTGCAATGGCAGGAGGTACGCACATTATTCTTTCATTTTTTGCTTCCGCTGTTTTTGATCTAAATGTGTTACTGTGATGTTAAGATAACATGTTTAGGTCAATTTCATACTCTGCTATTTTATCATTTGGTATCATAGTATTGATTATTCCTCTGCCTTGCATGTTTTTCATTGATTTGGATTTTAGATTTATGAGTTTTATTATTTTGATTCATTTAATCCAAACAAAATTCCCGAATTAACGTTAAATCTGATTACAATTTTTGTAATCTTAAACTATAAAAGCTAAAAATAAAACTGAAACCGGATCAAGAGGATTTGTCTAAAGTCGATGAACAATTTATGTCTGTTCGTTTTTTTCTTTCTCTCCCGTTTCAGGACTTCATCTCTTTAATACAAAGAGGAGCCCTGTTTCTGCGTTTCAGTTTTTGGGTCATTTCATGACCTCTTACAGCATTGTAATTTTTTTTTATACTGCGTGTCTCCAATTTAATTGCTGGGCTTAGAAAATTTCTCAGCTTTCCCCTCTACAGAATTGCAGTAAAAGGCAATTATTTTGATTGGAATGCATACATGATCATATTGCTTAAAAGGGTTTCTGTAGTTTATAAACCCTATTCTTTTTCTTGATTGTTGTGCATTGCAATATTATAATGAAAGTGAGGGTTAATCCTCTGCCACGTACTGGAGAATTCAGAAATTGTTTTTTTTATTTTTATAGGTCATTTTAATGACCTGAAGAAACTGCAGCTTTATTTTGCACGCATACATTAAATGCTAATGCATGCTTTTATGTTTAAATAATAATAATATTATTATTATTTTTATTTAACATATTATATAGAATATGTTTTTATAATATTACGTTTTATTATGATACGTAAGCATTTCATGTTATATATATATATATATATATATATATATATATTTAAATGTTTTTGGGTTGATAATTATGTATATTTTATGGATATTATTTGTATGTATATATTTGTTGTTATACGTGCAAATAAAATATACATTATTATTACTATATTTGCATATTATGAATTTTATGTAAATATTTATATATTATTGGTAGTAATATAATTTTAATAAATTAAAGAGTAGCCACAGCATCTTTAATCAATTAAAATTGTATATAGAGTTTTGCTACATGAGAAACATTAGTTGTAAATAATTATATTTAATATGATAAAATCTACCCACAGGAATTTTTTCATATTTATATGATTAATTAGGATAAAATATTAAATTATATTTCTTAATTTATCCACATGAATTAAGAAAAAGG